CCCCCTCCCGCACCACCCTCCCCGAGCCCTGTTTTGACCTCGTTTTCGTCCCTCGTTTTCCGATGAGCGGATTCGCCGGGGAATCTTCCGGTTTGCCTTCCCTCGACTCGGCTCGTCGTTCCTTCGTCGTCGTGTCGCCCCCTGGTATCCGTAAGAACGATCACCGGCTTGTCGGTCGTGGTCCTCGGAGATCGCGCGAGAAATCAGTCGTCATCCCCACCTGCGACATTCGTTATCACGGGGAACCGGAAGTGAAGGCCTTACCGATCACGGCGACGTCGCCGGACCGCCTGGCGCTGTGGCCCTGCTTGTTCCTCGCCCAGCAGGTGTACACGCCGGCGTCGCCCTTCTTCTGCACGCTGCTGATCACCAGGGTGCCGTCCGCCAGCACCTTCTGGCGCAGGTCGTCCGGTAACTCGCGGTTCGCCCTCTCCCACTTGATCTCCTCGATCGGATATCCGGCCACCGGACACTTCAAACGCAAGGTCTCGCCGGCGACCGCGGTCACTTTCGGGATCAGGCGTATGTACGGCAGCCCTGAACGGGAAATTTCGCGTTTCCTGGACGTGTCGCATGGATTTTCAGCGCGCCGGGCTAACGGGAAAATACCGGCGGGCTCGGCGAACGAGCGAACAATCGGTTAGGAAATAGCCAACGCGTGATCCGATTGTCTGTCGCGCAGATAAAAATGTCCTTTGTTTTCGTAACACGTTCGTCTTCTTCAGGCGCGTTGATTAATTAAATTTCCGATTACGAACGTTCGCACAGCACATACTTCATACTACGTACAATCGCGACAACCGCCGCGCAATAATTAAATACCGGATGTGTTTTGTTCCCAGAGAAAGAGAGAGAGAGAGAGAGAAGTAGAGCGAGGGAGAGAATTAATAATTACGTTGGTTTACGCGATCAGCGATTGTTAATTGACGATCGACCGTTCGCCGATGCGTCCAGGCCGACGTGAAAAATTCGTAGGGGCGCGCCGAGGTGACGCGACGTCAATTTCAGGGCTCGCCTCGCTGGCGCCGGCGCGCTTGCACGAAATTAATTATAATTTATTTCACATTATACACGGATGGGGAATAATTAACGCAGGTTACGCACCGTAAACATTCAGTCGCGCAGCATGTGTCACCTTTCCCGCGCGATTTTCGGCAGTGCAGGAGTACTCGCCGCCGTCCTCCACCATCACGTGGCTTATGTTGACGTGGGATATCACGTCGCCGTGCACCGTCACGTACTGCCCGATGACGAATCTTGCGCATGCAATCATCCGGGCGTCTCCGTTTAGACAAGGGGAGACTCGCGATCCGCCGGCGTACGTCGAATTTTAAATCGCGAATTTGAAACTCCGGGGGATACATCCCCCGCGTACATCTTTCGAGAGACAGAGGAAGAGAGAGAGAGAGAGAGAGAAGAAGACATTCTTGTTCGACGATACGTGACAACACTTCCAGTAATGATCCCTCGGTCGCGACAGCGCGGATGCGGCGATGTGATAAAAGAAAGTGATAAAAGTCAAGGAGCTAAAAAGATACGCGTAAACTTTTCGCGAGGAGCATTTTCGCATTTCTATCTGACGACCTGATCGATCCGACGCATCCAGACAGCCGCCAAACCGGTGCGGCGGTCTCGTGAATTTCGCGAGAGAAAAAGAGAGAGGGAGAGAGAGCGATAGAAACTGACGAATAAAGAGAGAGAGGTAGAGGGAGGCCGAGCAAAAAAGAGCGAATTGCGAAAGCCGGGCGTTATCGTTCAGAATTTGTCACGTTCTATCACGATCAGAGCCGCGAATGAAACTATAGCCGCGGGAAACGACTCGTCCAGTGGCGTGGACGAAGGGAAACGCGAGCGGCGGGGTAGAAAGCCGGCGATAAAACGGGATACGGGAAGGTACGCCGTACCGGGATGGTCCTTTATGCCGATCAGTCGTTAAACTACGCCGCCCAGCACCACGGAAAACTCGCGGGCTTCCTCCTACGTACGGTGTCCGCAACGATGTGGCTCTCTTCTCTTCTCATCTCGCGCCACGTACATAGTTCGCGCCCATCCGCGCGCGATAAATATTCTCGTTTCTCGCCCTCGGATATTACACGCGTGGAATTGCGCGCGTATACGATCGCGAATGACACCGTCAGGAATTACGGTTCAATTACGACGGCGATAGTAACTGACGTTTAAGGTGTACGTCGTCCATTCGACGACGTACTGCTATACCCCGCAACACCCTTTATTTTAGGAACGCCGATCTCGATAATTTCGCTCTTCGCGCTCCTCCCCACCAGCCCCCCTCCCGGTTGTTCTCCACCTCGACGACGTTGATAATAGCGCGTCGTGATAGCGGCGTCCGGCGCGGTAAGGAAAATAAAGTATAACGCGCGCGTAACGCGACATGTTGGCCGGTGCGCGCGCTCGACATAACTCAATGCCGCTATCACGCGCAGACGACGATCCCGATACATCCCTTTTCTTCGTTTTTCCCCCCCCCCCCCTCCCCCCGCTCCTCCTCTCTTTCCTCTTCTTTTTTTTCCAGCTGCCTCTTTTTGTTTCTTTCTCCTTCCTCTTTTTTTCTTTCCTTGCCCACGCAGGACCATTAGTTACGCCGGTGAATTACGAGATATCAGTCTCTCGAATGTCGAGCGCGCGAATATCGGCAAAAATGTGGGCTTTTTCGGAGAACTGGGGCGAGCTTACCTTCCATTAGTCGGTAAGGGAAAACCGTCCAGCGCCCACGATACCTGAGGTGTAGGGTTTCCCGCGGCGGAGCATTTTAAGGACACGGCGGGCCCCGGCTGGAGCGTCTGCTCGATGAACGAGTACAGCAGCACCGGCGGCGCGTCTGAAACGTTAACGTGTAAGGCGAGCTTAATTACGCATAGCCGGGCGAATTTATGCCGTCGAGCCGTTATCGTTAATCAAAGTCGTTAAAGCGGCAAAACACCTGGCGGCGATCGCTCGGGACGGAGGCCAAATTTTTACGCCCTGGCCGGATAATTAAGGCGAACTCGCGACGAACTCGCCCTCTCCTTCCTCTCCTTCCCTGGAAAAACGCTGTATATCGGAGATAATTTTGCGTTTCTCCGCGTCGCCGGGCTTCGAGCCGACAATTTAGCCCCCCGAGCGGCAACCGGGGTCAATTGTGCCCCCCTCGATTTTTCATCTCTTGAACATTTTCGAAAAAATCTCCCAAAATTATCGGAACTTTCTTTAACTTTCTATTTGAAGACTGTATATCTGTTTTGCCAGAAATAAATTGCTGAATATTTTAGTTTTAATGATTTCGTTTGGCGAAGGAGCGCTTCTTACAATGGCCCGGACAGAAATGACCCTGGTTGCCGCTCGGAGGGTTAAAGACAGATCGAGGAGCCGGGAGGCGGGTTGAAGGGGGGAGGGTGTTTTATATTCTCAGATATCTGTATTTATTTCTGCAATGAAAATGCGGATTACCGATGTAATTCGCGCGAGTGCCGCGGTTCGGCAATAAAACGCGAGTGCTGCAGGGTTAAACGAAGGGTTACGAGCGCGTTTCGCGGAAAGAAGAAGGCGAGCGTACGAGCACGATATCCCGATTCTGAAAGCCGCCACGCCCAGCGCGCATTGCGATGGAATATGAAAGACAATGGGCTCGCCGTCACGGAAGTGCCGCGCGCGGATATTTCTCTTTTCTCCGTCGACGTTATAACGACGGGGTCAACACGGGGGGTGAAGTACGACTGATTCGCGATGCGGCGGTGAGGAAGGTCGGCGGGAAGGAGGGAGGGAGGCGCGGAAGCGAAGAAGACGCGGGTAGACGCGCGGATCTGTCGTGAGATCGAACGGGCGATGGAGCGTCGATGTCGCCGTGGCTGTTCGTAATTAAAAGTATCGATTCCGTCGTCATTAAAAAAGAGAGCCCCGTCGTCGCGTCGCGGAACGAGAAGAGAGGATGAGGTGAGCCTCCTCTACCGCCCTCGAAGATGAAGGAGGGTGGGAAGAAAACGATCTCGTCCGTGTGAATGCCGGATCCTCGGCGGCTCCTCGTGCTCGCGAAACCGCACGCAAATCGATGAATCTCGTCTCGATGCCTGCCGGCGTTCGTCATCAGCCACCTCCGCCGTCTAAGCCGCGACCGACGCCGCGCGCTCGCCTCTTCCATCTCCGGTCGGTGAAACGGAATTTTAAGTGACGGTGATAACGACCGCCGACATTACGATGCGCGCGCGCGAGCGAAGTGGAAGTGTTCTCGTACCCCTGAGCGTGGAATCGCTCAGGGCCGCGTTGATCGCGCGTCCCTCCGCAAAACTGCAGTTCCTCAACTTACTTTCTTAAATCTGAACATGTTACGACGAACTACGCTTGATATACTAGACCGGGGTCAGTATCACAGTCCGTCCTTATATTTAAGATCGTCTTGGATTCATCTTCAGATGCTGTACGGGTCGTTTCATTGCCTACGAAGCATCTGAAGATTAACTTAAGATGATCTTATATATAAAAACGGATTATGTCAACTTTAGTTTGTACCGGTGCACATCAGAGCATTCCATCAAATTGGCCATTAGATTTTCTGATCAAACATGGCGTCTGGTCACTAAGTACTTCTATCTATAAAGAATGTCTATTGAATATATGGAGTTAATACGTGAAAGAAAACTCCAGTTCCGCCATATTTGATCGAGGAAAAAAGAAAACTAGATCAGTCGGTAAGAGAACCGAGATGTCCAGGCTGTTACTTGAAGGATTTGCGCGAAATCAGCCGTCGTCGCGTTGTCTCGATATCCGGCTGGAGATACGCGCGAGTGAAATGATAGGACGGCCGCCGCGGCGAGAGAATAGCACGATTAAAGCATGACGATGACGATATTTGACACTTCCGACGCCCGTTCTCGCGGCAGCTGCGAAAAATTGAACGGGACGTCGCAATTGGACCCGCATTGTCATTCGCAGAACGATTTTCGTCATTCGGCGCGTAGTCCACGACTATTCCCGGTGAGCGGTAGAAAAACGGCAAATTAAAGCATTCGCGTACGTTAGGTCGAATTGGTGGGAACACGTTCCGCGGCCGGTTTCGCGCTCGAAACATTCGTGGAATTCATTTTGAGTAATTTGGCAGTTCTGTTCGCTCGAGGAAATGACTTTTCTGCCGCCGTTCTATTCTCCGCCGCGCGCCATAGAGAAAGCTCACGCGCGCGCTTTTGCGCCGTCGCTCGAAATTGCGGCGGAGAGGACGGTTTTATGTGCGGCACGGCGGACCGGGCACGATATCCGCGTCCGTATCAAAGCGCGAAATAAAAGAGCCGCGCAAAAGTTGATTTTCATCTGCGGTCTCCCCGTTCCCTCTTGCGACGGTTAATCAACCGGCCGTTAATCAACCGCTCTGATTACAGTCTGCGCGCGATTACAGCCGCGGCGACGAGCAACAGTAACGTCGATGTTCAACGCGGAAATCAGCCGGTTCCGGTTTCTCCCTAAACGGACCGACAGTGGCGATCGAATCGATAAAGCTAATCGCGAGAACGTCGGTGCCGTCGAATGGCCGTGGAGGTCGACGGCCAATCGCACGCAGCTACTCTTCGCCGAGCGAAGAGATTTTACGAGCGAGTGGTGCTTGAATATCGCGGAATGCATTTCGCACAATTTGCCGAGAGGTGCACCGTCTCTCTCCTTCTCTTTCTTTCTCTCTCTCTCTCTCTCTCTCTCTCGTTCTCTCCTCTTTCCACTCTTCCTCTCTCATACACATAGTCTCTCTCTCTCTCTCTCTTTGCGGCCTCGGAAATGACTTTTTCTGCAGCCGTCCGTCCCGACCGGACTGTGCGGGGCGCGTCGGGCCCGTCGCTTTTCTCCTCCTGGTTGTCCTCGTGTGGCGAAATTGCATCGGCGATCGTTTTGTCTCGCTCGCACCCATCGGGATGTCTCTGCAGCCGTCGGCACTCGCTCGCTCGCTCACTCGCTCTCTCGAATTCTCTTTGACGTAAATTCCGTGCATTACTGACGCTGACGAGCGAGAGACGCTAACTTCATTGTTGTTTCAAAGGCCCTCCTCCCTGGTCGCTCCGCCGCCACCCATGCCGCCCCCGAAAGCCTGGTCTAGATATACGGGGTGTCCGACCTCGATGCTGCGTTATCAACTATTAACGATTGATTCTTTGACGGAATGCGTAATGCGGCCCGCAAACGAATGAACGAGCGGACGAACGCGCGGACGGACGGTTGCGTTATACGAATGTCGGCTGACGCGGCTCTTTCATACATATTTGCCGACGTGGTCGGTCATTCCGAGAGAGAGAGAGAGAGAGAGAGAGAGAGCGGGCGAGGAAAACTCTCCGAATGAAATCCCCGCCGAAGCACGATCCGCTCCGGGGCTAACTGACAAACAAAGTTCCGCCCGGCTCTTCGCGGTGACGTGGCTTAATTCGCGAGAGCCCCTTAATTTCCGACGTTAAATATCACCGTAATTAGAGCTGTCGCTTAGGATTTTTCGCCGGTGGGCGGGAGAAGCGAGCGAGGGGTCGCTTGCTAATTCCACGGAGAAATCCGTCTCGGCGACTACGCTCGAGGCCGCGGAGGATGAACGTCCTGTACAGGTTTCTCCGCCGCGGTAGGACGCGCGAGCGAGGGTAAGGGCGGCGGTGTGGGTGGCGTAGCTGCGAAACGAGGGTAAAGCGTTGTAAAAGAAGACCTCTCCACTTCAAAGTGGTGGTCCCCCCTCTCCCCCTGCCTCTCGGCCGGCAGCTCGGCACGCGGACACCGCCTCTTTGCCGAGTAATCGAGTTCTGTGTAATTCGATAGGTATAACGCGGGCTGCCGATCGGTGTCTTCTCTCGCCGAGGCACCTTTGACGGCGCTTTTCGAGGATGACGCGAGGACGGGAGACTGCGAGAGGGGGCGACAGAGAGAGAGAGAGAGAGAGAAAGGAGGAAAGACGCGGGTCAATATCCTGACGCGAGGCCGGATCTCCGTAGCAAATGTCTCCTTTATTATACGGATCTCGGGGGATGATGCCGCAGTCGCGATCAGAGCGCTGTTATTAGTACCTTTCGCGGTGCCGGCGAAGCGCGAACGATCGTTACGTCGCGCTCTTAACGCCGTATTTAATCGGAGGAATGTTTCATGCTCGAGTGCCGCGCGTCGTTCCCATTACCATCCAAGTTTGAATCATTCTTAGCGGCGCAACATTATTCCTCGTTATTCCCCCGACAGGCGCGCGCGAGATGTAATCCTCCGTCTTCGGTTGAGGAGAGTCTCATCTCGCGCGCTAATCGTGCGCGCACAGCCGTTCGCGTCTGCCAATTTAGAAGCGATCGATTCCGAATCGGTCTAAATATACACGTATCGTCACATTTGCCTCTTCCCAATAAAGTTATGTTTATGTCTCCGCATTCTTTTCTATTCTTGAGTGTAGTAATATCCGCATGCTTGATCTTTTCGCTTCCCTTTTCCAGAGCGTGCGATAAATCGATATCTAAGAAATAATAATAGCTAGTACCTGCCAATATATGAACACTTTCGAAATTTTTCAATTTAACGACTTTAGAAATCTTTTCCCTCTACTTGCGAGAACTCACATTTACAAAATAAGATTAAAATTGCCAGAAAACTCGATATATTTATACTGTTCAGAGCGAAATAAATTGTTCGAAATAACTATCCATTTCTCCTGAAAGCATTTGATTTTGCACGTATTAAATATACCGCTTTCTATCGAAATTTACTTATCTATCTCGAGCTGACTTATTTCGAACAGAATATTTATTGCTACGTCGAACGCGCGTTTTACCAACCTCGGCGCGTCTTCCCCGCGACAAGTTGCGTCTGTGTGAAAATTCGAGCTCGCGAAGTATCGTCAGGATCTCGTCTAGTACGGGGAGATCGTGACGGGGAGTCGATACCGAGAGAAATATTTACGTACCACCCAGTTGGAGTTCCGCCGACGCTTGAGCTGTATCGCCCTCCGACCGTCGTACAATGCATTGGTACATGCCGCGATCCTCCCGGCCGATCCCGTTGAGCCTTAACAATTCCGATTGCCTTCCTGTCCCTGGAAGTTGCCGACCGTCCTTGTACCACGTGATAAAGTGCGGTCCAGCTTGCGGATGCGTGCCGACCTCGCATCTGAACTCGGCGTTGCCGCCAAGGTGAACGCTCAGCAACGGTGGTGTCACTTCCACGTGAAGAGGCGCCGTCACGATTAACCTGAGGCATCGTGATAAAAGCGTCGACATATTACGTCACACGAATTACGCTTGACACACGAGGAGATCGAACGACGCGACGGCGTTACGGTAAAAGCGTGAAACGACGTGAGCGGAACGTCTTGGAGAAAGACGAGAGACAGTAATCAGACGTAATTGTTAATTTCCATTATCGCGTAACGATAATATACAGGATATATAAAAAGTGCCGAAATCGAATAAACGTAATTACCTGTTGTCAGTCTCTTAAGTCAAATAATACTTTTATCGATTTAAGCATATTTTGATGGCTTATAGTAAATACTTTCTTTAACGCAGTAATACTTTAATTTGTAAATGAATTACCGAATGTTAGTAAATCGTTCTAAATTTAAGATAGTACTTACTAAAATTATGTAATACTTCTTTTCCGTTAAAGAAACTTAGTGTTTTAAATTTCGATTTTCCGTCCAGTAAATATTTTTTGAAATTAAAATTCTGGTATCTCAATATTATAAATGTAATGTCAGAATTTTCTAACACATGTACGAGTAAATATCAAATTAGACGAAGGAAATATCACATTGTACATAGTCAATTATATTTCTATTTCTAGTAAATATTTGCTAAGGAATACTGGAGCGACCATTTTCCTTCGATCAGATATTACTTGAGTATAACACTCTTATCTTTCGGTGTAGAAATTAACGATTGACTGACTCTTGCGCGAAATTTCCCTTGATTTTTACCCTGATTGTTACCTGATCTCAGCACTGGCCTCGCCACCGGGGTTGGAAGCGGAGCAACGGTACACCCCGCTGTCCTCTAACGTCACCGCCTCGATGGCTAACACCGAGCCGAGCAGTCTAGTTCTGGGCCCGGAGAGCACCAGCATCGGTTCCGCACCCGTTTGCGCGTACCACCTGCGAGCGAAAGCATCGAGAACGCTTTTTTAATCCAACACTATTTGTTGTTACCGTCTATTTTGCGAGAGAACTTCGCGCGACAAGCTCCTCGATGTCGTTCGGGATAATAATTTCATAAAAAGTACTTCCACATGATGAGTCCGACTAAAATATTGAAATCGGGAGGTGCTTTTCTTTTCCAGCGATAACCCGCGATAAAATTACCGAGTACTATATATATATATATATACATACACGCCCCTGCCACACACACGCACACATAGGGATCGTAAACGTGAATCTACGAGGAGATCGGAAGGAAATGCTGCAAAAAAGAACCACGTGTCGCCGCTTATATCGTAACACGAATTCTATTGTCGCTTTTATCGATCTCGCACCTGAATATTCTATCGCGCTGGTTCGCAGCGCTCGCCAAGTTTGCCGCATAATCGATTCTCCGCGGGGCCGATTGCGATGCGATCGGGCTCACGTCTTTGAAGACAGTGCGACCGATACAATCTCCAAATCGGTCAACCCCTCTCTCTCTCTCGCTCTCTGTCACTTTGTTGTTCGTGTCCCCCTTCTGTCTCTCACACTCCGTCTCGTTGACGAATAATTTTTCATCGAAAGGCAAAGCAGTCGGCGCGGCAAAGAGGCGGCGAGGGGGACGGGTCGCGAGGGGAACGGTTCAATTTCGCTAGCTTTTCGGATACGTCGACCTAGAAACGACGCCGGGGCCGACATCCGCAGCAACGTTTATCCCCGGGATCCTCTCGCTGCCACTCTCTGCAGTCACTGACAGTTCCCGATCGCGATACGTTTAGACTTCGGCGGGGGGCTTGATCGCTCGTGGGGCCTATCCGAGAGCTCTCTCTCTTTCTCTCTCTCTCTCTCCACTCCGTTCTCGCGCGCGCTCCTTCCCCTATGTTCTCAATTCGCCGCGATATTTCACGTCCGGACGTCCGACCGAGGCGAGTTCGCCGACGAGTCGCGGGAATCTCGCGAGAAATCTTGACCGATAAAACCGAATGGGAGTTACGGTCGGAGTTGTTTCCGTTTAATAACTTGTTAAGACCCTCCGGACGCGACGCTCCGAAGCGGACGGGATTCGTATGCACGCGTAAAAGATTCAGTTCGGAAAGTTGCGGGACGATGGGAGTTGGATCGTCGTGTCGTTAGGAGATAGAAAAGTTCCGGAAGCGCGCGCCACGACGTGTCGTAAAAGTACTTAGAAGTTGCGCGGCCGTCCGCGGGAATTCAATAAATCCCGCGGCTCCGCGGCAGAATCTTATCCGGTATCGCGCGATTTGTCCCCCCGAGCACCCCCGATCGGTCCCGTTTATCGTAAGCCCGCGTGAGCGCCCGTTCCTGGCCGCGCGAGATGTATCGAGGCCGGATATATCGCGGCGGCGTCGCGTATGTATCCCCGCGACAAATTTACGACGTTTCTATACGCGCGCGCATATAAATTCGCATAATGCATTCCGCGGCGGGGGCGGGGGTGGCAACGTGCGCCGCAACTCTTAATAACGCGGTAGTATTTCACGGGGAGGGGCCCGCCGGTGCCGAGCGATACACGCGTTTCGGCCCGCGGGAAGACAATCGACCCCGCCGTCGGCCGGGGGTCGCCGACTTGAAACGTATTACGCGAATGTATTTTTCATAGAAGAGCTACTGCCGGGTCCCGCCCGCCCGCTCGTGTCGCGATATTGCCAATAAATTTTCATTCCGTCGAGCATTCGCCGGGCTATATTCGTGGTCTCTCGACCGGAGAGAGCGAGAAAAAAGCAGGGGGACGCGGAGGGGGAGAAGAAGAGAGAAAGAGAGGGCAGGAAAATGTCTTTCATTCCGCACTCTCCACTCTAAATTGCTTTAACCTCTCTTGCCATATTTTTTTTTCTCGAAACATCCTTCCGGCGTTATACACGAGGTATTTTTATTGCGAATTCTAATTGCAGGCTTTATAATACTGCGATTTTCATTTTTCTCCCTTCCTTATCTGTCTTTTTCCCCCCTCCTTCTCTCTCTTTCTTTCTACTTTTAGCGCGGCTTGAACGATTTCCGTAAGGGTCCTCCATCATTCTCCTTTTCTATTATGCTGATTCTTCCTTTCGCCCCGACGAAGGGCGACTTCTATTGCGTACGGACCGGCGCAAACCGATTCCGTTTATGTGACAAATGTGCAAATATTTCTAGCCGTAACGGGACAGAGAGAGAGAGAGAGAGAGAGAGAGAGAGAGAGATGTAACTCCTGGTATATCGAGCGCCGGCGATTCGCCGCGTGCGCGCGCCTAGACGGGGCCGCGGGAGGTGAAGGACCGTTTGTCAAATTCTCCGCTCTGCGAAGTGGCGAGGAGATAAAGTACGACGTTCGATTGTAACCGTGGAGAGGCGGGGGGAGGGAAACAGCCGCGGAAAACGCAGAATCGCGGGCGGGCACCGGGTCTCTCTTTCTCTCGGCCCGAGCGACATGGAGAGCTTCCGATTGTGCCACCTTCGCGAGGCTTCAGGATCGAGTGCTCCCACTTTTTCCCGATCAAAATCTTCCGTCTTCCTGCCCTCCCGGCCCCGACGTCGCACTTCGACGCTCGTCTTCGCCTTTTTCCCCCTTCATCTCTCTCGCCGAGTATCACCCGTCCTTCCCTCCATCGCATCACCCTGCCCCCGTTCCCCCCTTCGGGGTGCGATCGTAATTTCTCCAGGGAGGGGGGATTAAAGGAAAGGATTGAGACGCAGCATCACCGTCTCTTACTATCCTCTCAGCCGCCCCCCGCCGGCGGATATCACGGAGGAGTCGCGTAATCGCTCAAAGAAGCGTCGCGTACGAAACGATAGACGCGCGCGCGCTCGGTCTCGTTCGAGTGCCGATTTCCAACGCACAAAAGCAGTCGTGTTCGTCTTTGTGTCAGCCGATGTGAGATGTTCGAGAGACGGTACCTCCAAGCCGAGACGACGACGCCAAGTGGACGTCGGAGTGGAGCGTTTCTTTCCTCTCTTTCTTTTCTTCTCCCTTTCTCTGCCCCTCACCTATCTCTCCCTCTCTCTCTCTCTCTCTTTCTTTTGCTCGCTCGCTCATTCTCTTCTCTTGTCGCTGTAACGGCGGCAGCGAACAAATCCGTTCCCGGCGCGCGGGTAACGAGCGACGATCTCTCGCCTCGCTTTTCCGCGAGATTACTTTATAATGGGAAAAGCTGTGGGACGCGCGATGTGCCGTTTTTCTCTTGTTACATCCCTGTTACACGAGCTCTTGTTCTCTCGCTCCCTCCCGCCCTCTCTCTCTCTCTCTCTCTCTCTCTTTCAACGACGATGTACGTTATTTAAAACGACGGTGATTCTGATGGCGCACGTACGTATTTGCGCTGTAATACACGGCGTACTATTTTCCATTTACCTTCCGCGAAACGTAGGTACGTATTTTCATTTCAATATGCGAGAACTCGGACGGGCCGGAATTTTCCGTGCGAATTTTAACCGTGAGTGATACGCTGAAATGCGATTTCGTACGTCGGGATCCCATTGAAAATCGTCCGGGGGAACGTCGAACTGTTTTTATCGCAAAATCTCTTAGTATATCCGCGAAGTAATACCACTGAAAAGTCCGGAGGCGTTATCCCCGCGAACCAACGTTACAATTAAAAAATTACAAATTCATTAACGCGTGAACTACAAATTCATAACGCAGCCCGTGAAGAAACGCACGGGAGATTTTACGCGAAAAGGGACAAATGTCGCTGCGATGCTCCCTCAACTGAATTATTAATATCGCACGATATTAATACACGATATAACGGTATATCCCGATAAAATGTATTCCCAAAAATGTTCACTGTTCGCGGGAATTTATCCCGGTAGGAAATAATACAATAACGATGATCGAAATAGAATACGAGACTGGGGAATGCGCGGCGTTTCTAAGGCGCCTTTCGCTCGCTGCGGCAATAGCGAGCGCCATCTAGGATCGAGGGACTAAGGCCGCCGCTCGCGCGGACGGCCGACTAGGGTCACGCGGCCGGCGGTCAGCTGTCGCGCGCGTCGTGCGTAACTGACCTACTCCTACGCGCGCGTGGCGTGGAGCGTAACTGACCTACCGCTACGCGCGCGAATTCTCGGCAGAGCGTTACGCGCTCGAGCCCGGCAGCGCTACGCGTAATATGACGCCACGTGCGCGTCGCGAGTCAATGGCGGGTCGCGCGCTCGATTTTCCGAGCGTCGTAGCACGACGAAAAATCGCCGTGGAGACGTGCGGCAAGGACCGGGCTTCTTCTATCGTCGTTCCGCGTCCGACCGTATTAATTGTCGATGCTCTCATCATGACGCGCATACGTGTGTACTTTGCACGTCGATGGAAAGTCGAGAAAATTAATTCTTTGTCACCGTACGCTTAACTGACTCGTTTTGATGCATTTCATGCGTCACGGCAAAGAGTAACGATTGAAAAATTGATCGTCAAGTAGTTTTCTTTACGTCCTTTTGGCATCCTAACTGTCGATGTGTAATCTTTGACTTTCATGTAGATTGTCCGGTATTTCATGTAGTTTTAGAAGCCCATATTCTAAATTTTCTTTCGTCAATAAGTGTCTTAAATATGGCTTCTCAGCTAATTAGATAGTTACTAAGTTTTAGAAACTTAAACTAACTTTTAGAAGCACTTTTATCAATACAAAAGAGTTCAGAATATGGACCAAAATGTTCGGAAAAAAATCAGTTTTTTAACCCTCTAACGGCAGGGCGGATTTTCAACGTGATCGTAAAAGTAGAGCAGGAACCGACCTAAATGTACACTACGTATACTATATTTTGTTCATTTTTCACGTAGTCAGTGTACAAAATAGATAAAAGAAGTAAATACTGGCATGAAACATTCTTTGAGAAGAGATAGCGTATACGTTGTAAAATAAATGACGCCATGGAGTCAATCTGACCCCGCCTTACCGTTAGAGGGTTTAAAACAAGAATATTTCTGCCTAACGTTTTTTTGTTCTTATTTATATCTCCCTCTCTCTTTCGCTCTCATGAACTTCTCAAGCGCAATAAAGTCACTATTATTATTGTTGTTATTATCATATAAATTTAAACGACAATGTGATTCGAGAAACGTAATTTAAATATAGATAGCAGCGACGGTGTCTCCTTTTTCGAGATCGCACGCTCGTGCGGGCGCGCGCATGTGTGTGGGCTTCAGAGGATTTCCGCAAACACACTTACCGGTATTCGGGCGAAGGGCAGGCTTGCGCCACGCAGACTAACGACGTCGATTCGTCCTGGGCGACGTGAACGACGCCGGAGTTTTCGAGTATCACGGGAGGCATTACGCCTCTGTGATCTGTGAAGCAGAATGCAGAAAACTCGGCGCGTCACAGCGTTTTCAGCCAACTGTGCACCTCTCCTCCGAAAGTTATCGGCAACCGTGACTCACCTGCTATCCTAATGTTGGCCGCGGAGCTAACGACCACTTGTCTCGTGAGACGGTGCATCGTGCGGCATTTGTAGCCGTTCAGCTGGTCGTTGAACTCGAGGCTGTGCACCAGAAGCTCTCCCGTGGGAAGCAGGTGGAACTTGCCGTCTAGAAAATGCAACGATCGAGAGCAGTCGTAAAATGTCAAACGTATCGAAAGGCGTCCCATGATATACAAGACGGCCCGGAAAACCCATATAATGGTAAAGCGGCATTTTCTGTCGACTCTCCGGGCTTAGATATTTAATCCTGAAACTTCGAGACGAAGTCCCCCGTCGAACTTACGGCTCGCACGGCGAAGAGAGATACGAACCCGACCGGCGGGCTATTTCCGACGAGAAATTTCCGCAGGTTTGCCCGACCGGTGCGCACGAACGTCGCTTCCCAAGTAGATCACAAACCGTGCGACTTATCTTGCGTTCTACCCCTTTCTCGTTTACTTTTTGCACAATAGACGCCAGTTTCGTCTCACCGGCGACCGGTCGATCGACCGATCCATCGATCTATCACGTTGTAACCCGCAATGACGCTTGCACGGGATTCCGTTTAGACCGCATGAATAATACACGGCTTCCTAATCCCGCCGTATTATTCATATCGAATGCGCGCCGGTAATAATTGGGATCAACGTTTCCCGATAACACCGCATCGCTCGGTTATCTTTAACGACCGCGATAACACCGCGCGCCAGCCGGATTACGATATTTTCGGGCGTGGCCGCATTCGCCTGACGATAATTACGTTAATTCCCGCGTTTCCCCTTGTCCGATCTACGTGACGTAGGAGCGCCGTCTCGCCCTGCTAGCCCCGTCCGTCCCGTGCGCGCTCCTCGCCACTTGGGCTAAGCTCGGGGCTTCCTTAGATAAGCCCGGGCAACGCTTAACCACCACAATTATCCTAAACAGTCGCGAAGCCCGCCCGGCAAACTTGAGTCTTTTCCGGATTCGCGCGGGAAATCCCTAATTCGCGATTAGGTCACGTGCTACTTGCACGGTCGCCGTCGCTTCGTCCTACTTATGTAGCGCACATGTAGAATACCGAGCGCCGGCGTGAACATATATACCGCTGATGAATATTAGGGTTGTTTTACGTACGTAAGTATTTTACACGCACGCGGCGTTTGACAGGTGAAAATATTCGATCGAAGTCCCGATTTCTAATTTCCCGCGAGTTCCATAAGCAGACGGCCGACGTTGAGCGACGACGAACGTTTCCGCTGCGAAGGGAATCCTATTTTGAAGAGACACCATGTTGAAAATTAAAGGGCTCCGCCGATGCAAGCTTGATACGTGCGATCATGTTTAATTCAATCTCTCAAGCTCGATTCAGCACGTATTATCGTTTCCGCGTAGAATTGAAAAAGTTACGCTGATAGAAAATTATATCGCAAAAATAGGAGAATCATTTTTCCAGTAAAGTGTAGTGTTACCGTGGTGTTAGTAGAAATAATTTTAATCGCATCTCGCTATTACTACTTTTGTTAGAATCAATAAACGGTATATTAGGCGACGGAAACAACGAAATGTAATATATTCTATCGGCGTTCTCTGCTACAAAATTCCATCACGATGCCTCTCCTTTCGAAATACACCTGATCGAGAGCGACGAGTGTAGGATGGTGTAAAAATTGCACGCGCTCTCCGTCACCGAGATGAGAGTAACCGAGTTACAAGGCCGACGATAAAGAGGTATTTTCGTATGAAAGAAATTTCGCGCGCAGGCTTGTATCGGCGGCTTTGTGCCGCACAGCGGTCTATAGCTCGGGCCGGTATATAGCTCGAGCACGGGCTGAATGAGCCCGTTCGTGAGACATTAGAGCAGCTAAGAGCGGCTGCGATAAGGCCGCCTTCCGAATAGATTGTCCGCCAAGTCAGGTGGACCGAATGGTCTCTATGTAGTCTAGGTATTACATTCGAGGGAGCCTATAGCCGCGCGCGCGCGTGCGCGCTTCCATTCACGATAGATGGGAACGCGTGTATGTACATATATCGCGCGTACATGAGTCGGGGGCGTTATGTACATGCCGGCGAATTACGTCCGAACTGATACCGACACACAACAGCGGCCGGCGGCTACAGGGAAAAACGCGCAATACGAGGCGCCGGTTATTGTATCGACGGAAGGGCGTAATATGATACCTTCCCCGATAAGGTGGTAGCGTTTAAATTATAGACTCCGCGGAAGAAATTCCCGCGATCCTCTCGCTAGATCCGTGTGTCCCGGAAAGTGACGCGTTGCGCGTGACTTCTCGTTGATGGATGGATCGATTATTATTATTATTTTCATCGAGTGTAGTACAGAGTTGTTCAGCTATATTGAGAGATCAGCAGGGTGACATGTACTCAACCGGCGGGGTGACAGCTAATAGCTGATATTAGGCGCGACCATAAAGCAAGGAAACGCGATAAATTTCTGGAAAATTCAAGCATACAGTCTGACAGTTGCAGAACGGAAAACTGTGAAAGTTTCAGTGGCGCGTACAGAGGAAGGAAGTAAATTATAGTGTTCAGCAGCCGATATAAGGTAAAGTATTTTCGAGTTTAGAGGTGCGACAGAATGGGAACGAAAGAGAGGGGCTGAAAGTGTGTTGGAATATTAGAATTAACGTGAAAGTCCAAATTACAACGAAGCAGCTCGCGCAAATGGAATTTGGAGAGAGCATCGAATTTTAGAATTGTATAAACCAGACGAAATAAAAACAGAACGAAACGCTGGTGGAAACTGGTATGTTGAGCCAAAACGAAGAACGATAAGAAAGGGAAGATATACGATCATACCTTCTAGAGTTATAGGATTGACGAAGACAAGAGTTCTAAATACGCTGTATACGATTCAGTAACAGTTTAGAATACACGGAACATAAATCACATTTACATAATGAAACAATGATGATACAAGAGAATAGGTAACGGGTAATTTCTGAGCTGTGGTTAAAATACGTCTAAAAGGATAAAGCGTGCAGAGGCGAGCATAAGCTGCGCGACATTTTGCCATAATACAATGGTCGAATGACCAGGAATAATCTATATATATATATATATACACCAAGTACCTTTGATATTATTATTATAATTATGATATATGATATTATGATTTTATAATTAATTTTCGTTCAAGAGAAAAAAATAATTTTCAGGTGTGCGGAAATTTCGAGTTCGCGACATAGATAGAAACAACATGGCGTGTTCTGTAATTAGTGTTCTAATTTAGCGATGGCTAATTACGGTCGCTAATCAAATTGCGAAACGCAAAAACGCAGAGGCGTGTAATTGGCGTGTGTGCCCCTCCCGCGCGCTTGTACGCAATTTTCTCGGAACGGGCCCGCGTTTACGGTAAATCAGATTAATCTCCGCGAGCTACTAATGAACCGATGCTCGCTCTCTCGGCGAGAGGTCGGCGTCCCCGACAATCTCGACTCGCATCCCCCACGCGGAAGGAGACGCCGCATTATTGTGGATATTAAATTTCAGCCCGTGCGTCCGCGGCGGATATTAAATTTTAGTCCTCGTAAGCAATGGCGGCCGAGTGCGACACAGCCGCACGCGGTCAGTACCACCGGCGGTCACGCGAAAATCGCGCGCCGCACACTGTCACCGACGTATAATTCTTCTTTCTCCGCATTTCCGCTACTATGCCCGCGAGCTCGGAATGTTTTCCACCAACGTCGTCTTTGCGGCCACGAGAAGGATTAGGTTAACGGAATTTTATCCGAAGGAATCCTGTTATATCGAATAAACTATTCAACTAATCTAACACGAATTTCAGACACGTATCCGTGAAAATAAAAAGTACCGGTCAGTAAATTTCATATCATAAATTATATCCCTTTTAAATTTTAATTTTTTTTATTTATGTTTATGCGTTGAAGCAGAAAATGATAATAAAAATATTCTTTCGATTTAAAGCTACAGTTCAAGAAATATGGATCATATTTTAATTTTTGTAAATCACTAGTATAAGTTATGATAATAAAACAACAGAACACGTTTTTTTTACTATAAATTTATATTTTTATGTTCATATTGTTATAGGAAAGTTAAAATTTCTTTTAAACGCTGTATATTATAAAGAATCTTTTTAACGGTCTTGAAATAAAACAGTTATATACAACGAGAGAATAGAAATAGTCTGTATCTTCCTATAGGAAATTAAAATGTAACAAAATAGCATATCTGTCATTCATAAACTTTCATAGGGCCGCCATATATATCATTTCAAAGTAAAAAATTAGATTTAAAAAAAAAGTGATTTTGAAGACATTTTCTCCACACCACGAAAACCTCAAATATCAAATTTCCTTTTGATTGTTGTTTATTATATAACAGAAATTAGAGATAAATTTTTACTTTAATCGTTATATCCGCGAACAACACCACAAAATTAACTAGAATCGCCAGTTTAAATCCAAGATACAATTTTTATATTGACCAGTATTACTGGTTACGTAAAAATGAATCAAAAATACGAACTTATGAATATAAAATATCTTAGTATAAGAAATAAATATTTATTCGGATTCCATGATGCCTGATTTTGACTAACTTCAATTACTGATAACGAAGAATCAAATAAGAAAATCTGGAATATAAATTAGAGCGAAGAGAATATGCGTGAAAAATAATATATTAAAATTAATTAATATCAGAAACTCTGGGAAGTAATAAATTCCTATACAGTCTACGACCGTTGAAATTCAGATTCCTCGGAAGGCATCGCGAATACTCTCGGGAGCCGCTGCCACTGCGGACAGTCTCGCAACTCGCGATGCACAATATGCGCGAAATAATTGCAGCACGTGCTCTAACGTCGCTTTACCATCGCGGCGCGACTTAATCCTCACGCGTATCGCGTTGCGGAATCGCGGAAAATTTATCTCCCCGGTGAGTAATCTTTTCCGCGCGAGATGATTTACGTCGTCGCGGAAATCTCTCGTATGCCCGTGCGGCAAAGAGCGTTATATGCATTCAGAGTTTTTTCATCCAACTTCCCTGGTCAGCCCCCATACGACATGCGCGCGATGATCCCGGTGTTTTCGCGACACGCGTGGGACACGTCGCACGCACTCGTGGATATTTCCGTAAGAAACATTTACCTCCTTGCAGCGAGGGGTATATGTGGGACGATGGCTCGTGCAGCCAGGCTACGACGCGCACCAAATCTTTGACGTAGCTCGGTATGATGCAGCGCAATATCGCCGTGCATCCCCTCGACGCGCCTCCCGTCACCTCCACGTCGACTTTGTACGCCTGAGCCACCACTGCGAACACAGTAATAAAATATCACGCGAGCCGCCACGTGCGGGCCGCGGCCGATCACCTAGAGATCGTGAAACAATGGCTTACGTCTCCCCTCCCCCCCCCCCCCCCC